CCCGCCACCTTAGGTGTACGTGGCTGGCGCCTTAGCCGATTGAGCTATAGGCGCCGAGCCCAGAGTGGTGATTTTTAAGCAAACACATACCATCTTGGATGTAGCCTTTAGGATATTCATTGGCTCAGACAGAAGTCACTAATGCCAAGATGATAATACCACCTAAATGTCAGGGTTTGTCTGCGACATGGTTTGTCCCTCAGACTGGCCCCAGTTAGATGTCATAAGTATTAGGGAACACATGTTGAGAACATGGAGACAGAGATGGGGAAGATACCCATGTTTCCTAAAGCATAATGACATGACATGAGAAAAAATTACTTGCCCTCACTTTTCTCCCATTCCTTCCTAATCTGTTCTGCTAAGAAACCTAAGTGAAGACTGGCTAAATTAGGACAAATGTTCTGTCAGGCCCTAAGTTTGGCAGGAAAGGAAATGAGGCAAGACTTATTGCTTCAAAAGACCTCCTATGATTTTGTATTAATTTCTCTCTGGAACATACGTGGCAAAAAATGTTTATATCAGAAGAAAAAAGATTAAGCAACTCAGGAATTGGGTCCTTGAGGCCCATCCTCCACTGACTGTTGCTAGCCTCTGGGCTCCCCTCTTTTCTTCTTCATGCTCCTGCTATCAAACTCACCTGCTATCTGCTTCATAAATGTCATGCAAACACCATCGGCTCCCAGAACCCCACTCTTCACTAGTTCCCGTACCAACCACACCAGCTAAAGGAAAGAGGAAAAAACAGATGAAAAGCAGGGCCTATGAGTCTGAGAAAGGCACTGAGTCATCACATTATAATTTAGGCACAAGGGTGGGGTGTCAGCTCGACTCCTCTGTCATTCCCTCAGAGAGGGACCGTCCTCGGCTGTGTCTTTCAGCTGGATCCTCACTTTTCTTTCTGCCCTTACCTGAGTACGACAGGTATCCTGTAACTTCAGGTACTTCTCCATAAGTATCTGGTTGATTTTATTCAGGACAATATTCATGCCGTCACGACTCACCAGAGCCAGATCCCGGTAACACTGTGAGAAGGGAGGTCTGTGAGCAGCCAGTGGGCTGAGGATGGGGGTCCTGACCCCACCCATAGGGGCCCCCACCCTCAAGTCTCTTAAACTTGAATAACAGCAGTGGGACACTGGGCAGCAATGACATACTTTCCTACCACAGGGTCCCTCATCCCACACCTGTCCCTTGCTCTGTGACACAGGTGGGGAAAAGGGACTGAGCTGTTCTATGATAAGGCAGGAAAGCCTGCTGAGCAAGGCTCCTGGTTCTATCCCTGTCCCCCTACCTCCCCCCCATCAGGAAGTCATACCGTTTGATGCCATAAGCTGAACAAAACCAGGTAGAGGCCATCTGCTTTTCATCTGCTAGTAATAGGCCACCTCAGAATGGGTTTGGTTGAAAGAGCCAGATAGGATCCCAAAGAAAATCTCAGACCTGTACTGACCCAGCCAGACGCAGCAAAGGGAGCACATGTATTAGAGGAAAGGGATCAGGGCAGGGCCCAAGACCAAAAGAGCAGAACCAAAACTGAATTTTCTGGCTCGGCGCCTATAGCTCAACCGGCTAAGGCGCCAGCCATGTACACCTAAGGTGGCGGGTTCGAATCCCCAGCCCAGACCCGCCAAACAGCAATGACGGCTGCAACCAAAAAACAGCCGGGCGTTGTGGCGGGCGCCTGTGGTCCCAGCTACTTGGGAGGCGGAGGCAGGAGACTCGCTTGAGCCCAGGAGTTGGAGGTTGCTGTGAGCTGTAATGCCATGGCACTCTACCCAGGGGGATAGCTTGAGGCTCTGTCTCAAAAAAAAAAAAAAAAAAAAAAAAACTGAATTTTCTTAACTAAATGTCTTGCATCTTCTCAGGGAGACGTCCTTTGCTTCTGCCAAGTATTGAAAAAGGAGCTCCTAAGCACATTCAACCCGGGGGTAGGGGACAGAGGGTGAGCCAGTTTCTTCTGTGAGTCCCTGCTTCCCCTCACTCTGTTCTCACCCTATCTCTCTAATAAGGCAGAACTCCTGCAGGAGGACCTCAGGGGACCTCCTTAGCCTGCTGAGCTCTCCTCTGTCAGGGTCTCATCAGAAAGGGTAAGATTATGTCAGTAGCTTCCCACAATCTCTGAAGGCCAGTAGCAAGGATGGCATCAATCATAACAATAATACTAGCTAACAATCATTGACATTCCATATACTTTACATTATCGCATTTGATACATAAAACAACCTTTTGAAATAGATAATGTTCATTACAATCTCTATTTTACAAACAAGAAGACAGGCATAGAGAAGTTAAAGCAATTTGTCCCAGGTCACACAAGAGATTAGAGCAGTGGTTCTCAACCTTCTTAATGCTGCAACCCTTTAATACAGTTCCTCATGTTGTGGTGACCCCCAACCATAAAATTATTTTCACTGCTAGTTCATAACTGTAATTTTGCTACTGTTATGAATCGCAATGTAAATATCTGATACACAGGACATATTCAGGCAACCCCTGTCAAAGGATCATTCAGAACAGCTAGATTAGAGGAAGAAGCAGGACTCAGATCCAGGCAGTCCAATTCTAGGTTCCAAGTTTAACTACCTCTTATACCAACTTTAGAAGTAACTAGAAGGAGACCGAGCTTCTAGGGATGGAGGTAAGAGTTTGGGATGATTTTGAGAGAACTAAACTTTTTTTTTTTTTGCTTTGCAGTTTTTGGCCGGGGCTGGGTTTGAACCCACCACCTCTGGCATATGAGGCTGGCACCCTACTCCTTTGAGTCACAGGTGCCGCCCAAGAGAACTAAACTTATAAACTCTTTCATCCTGAGCATTCACAAGAGCCCTGCCCCTCAAGACCAGCTGTTCTGTGGCCTTAGTGTGATTACAAATGAGCCCTCACCACTTCCTCCTGTTTCTATTGTCCTTAAGTCAAATCAACTGATCTGATGAAAATACCAACAATTGGCTCAGTGCCTGTGGCTCAAGTGGCTAAGGTGCCAGCCACATATACCTAAGGTGGCAGGTTCGAATCCAGCCTGGCCTGCCAAACAACGATGGCTGCAATAACAACAACAACAAAAAAATAGCCAGGTGTTGGGTGGGCACCTGTGGTCCCAGCTATTTGGGAGGTGGAGGCAGGAGACTTGTGTAAGCCCAGGAGTTGGAGGTTGCTGTGAGCTGTGATACCACAGCACTCTACCCAGGGGGACAGCTTGAGGCTCTGTCTCAAAATAAAAAAAAAAAGAAAGAAAAAGAAAATACCAAAAATTAGAGATTCCCCATGTGCCACAAACTTTTCACACCCAAAGAGGAATTTATCTTTTGACTCCATCTAGGCTTAAGGGGGGAGATCAGAACAAACAAACGGGCCAGTGCAGTGGCTCACGCCTGTAATCCAGCATTCTGGGAGGCCAAGGTGGGTGCATTGCTTGAGGTCACGAGTTCAAGACCAGCCTGAGCAAAGGCAAAACCCCGTCTCTACTAAAAAATAGAAAAGTAGGCCGGGCACAGTGGCTTACGCCTATAATCCAGCACTCTGGGAGGCTGACGCGGGTGGATTGCCTGAGCTCACAATTCGAGACCAGCTTGAGCAAGAGCGAGTCCCCATCTCTACTAAAAATAGAAAAACTGGGGTGGCGCCTGTGGCTTAGTGGGTAGGGCACCAGCCCTATATACCAAGGGTAGCAGGTTTGAACCTGGCCTGAGCCAAACTGCAACAACAACAAAATAGCTGGGTGTTGTGGCGGGCACTTATAGTCCCAGCTACTCAGGAGGCTGAGGCAAGAGAATCACCTAAGCCCAAGAGCTGGAGGTTGCTGTGAGCTGTGATACTGCAACACCCTACTGAGAGTGACAAAGTAAGACTATCTCTAAAAAAAAAAAAAAAAAAATTTAAAGAAATAAAAATAAAGACAGAAATAGTGCTAACCAGAGAAGATACTGCTCAACTGAAGCAGAAATCCTGGAAATGCAGAGTAGACCAAGGGCAAAAAGGATGGATGAGCACTACAGGAGAAGCAGGGTCAGATGGAGAGGCGTCTGCCTGATTCCCTGCTCCACCGGGAACCTTTAATAATAACTGCTGGTGTGGCACCCATCGCTCAGTGTGTAGGGCGCCAGACACATACACCAAAGCTGGTGGGTTCACACCCAGGCCAGGCCAGCTAAACAACAATGACAACTGAAACAAGGGTGAAATATGAGATTCTGTCTCAAAAAAAAAAAAAAAAAAAAAAACAAAATTAACTGCTGGTAACAGATAGCAGCTGGGCACCCACAGTACTACATCCCTGAGGCTAGCAGTTCTCTTACCAATCTCTTTGCCAATCTGGTAACTGGCCTGGAAAAGAAGCAGATGGGGGAAAAATACCCAGCAAGGAACTGTGAAGCAGAGGGGCTCAAAAAAAGGGAATGTGCCAGGATGGCACTGATAAAGCACAGCTATCCTGTGTAAGAGTAATACTGTTGGGCAGTGCCTGTGGCTCAGTGAGTAGGAAGCCAGCCCCATACACCGAGGTGGGTGGCAGGTTCGAACCCTGCCCTGGCCAAACTGCAACAAAAAATAGCCAGGTGTTCTGGCAGGTGCCTGTAGTCTCAGCTACTCAGTAGGCTGAGGCAAGAGAATTGCCTAAGCCCAAGAGCTGGAGATTGCTGAGAGTTGTGATGCCACAGCACTCTACCGAGGGTGATAAAGTAAGACTCTGTCCCTAAAAACAAAAAAAACAGCAATTACTCTTTCACCCTACGTCGTTATAGCCCCCAACCTTCTTTCTAGAGATGCCCTGTCAGGGACTCACCTAGACTAAGAAATGCCTGAAAGGCCCTTGACCTTTTGATGAAGAGAAGCCTTCCCTATCATCTCTATCCACTGCCTGAGAGAACTTGTACACCTGGGTCTTCAGGTCAGCACCTCCTGCTCACCATAGCCCCAGGCCAGGCCTGTCCAGCTGTCTAGTTCTAGCTTAAACACCATGTAGGTTATAAACTCCCAAGAGGCATTGCACAGTGGCTCATGCACACCTGTAGAATAGGACTTTAGGAGGCTGAAGTAGGAGGATGGCTTGGGCTGTGAAGTTCGAGGTTGCAGTGAACTATGACCCTTCCACTGTACTGTAGCCTGGGCAACAGAGCAAGAGCCTGTCTGTAAAAAGATAAACTTGGGTGGCGCCTGTGGCTCAGTGAGTAGGGCGCCAGCCCCATATACCAAGGGTGGTGGGTTCAAACCCGGCCCCAGCCAAACTGCAACAAAAAAATAGCAGGGCATTGTGGCGGGTGCCTGTAGTCCCAGCTACTCAGGAGGCTGAGGCGAGAGAATCACCTAAGCCCAGGAGTTGGAGGATGCTGTGAGCTGCCACGGCAGTCTACTGAGAACGATAAAGTAAAACTGTCTCTAAAAAAAAAGATAAACTCAAAGAATATAAACATTTCTAGGAGTGGCCAAAAAAGCAAATGCAAATCAAGAAGGTACAAACAGAGCAAAAACTTGCCCTGTATTTTGCTCTTTACCAATGTCTGACCCACTCTCTCCTTAACTGAGTTCTCCTGCTGCTCACCCTTGAATCCACCCTCCTCCCACCCACTGGACCTCAGAGAACTGGCCCTAGCCCTTGACTTTGCCTGCCCATACTAACCAGCTGTGTAGCCCGTGATTCTACAAAGCAGGTTCTAGTGCTGAAGACTCTTCATTACCACCTTCTCTACCAATCCCACCCTATCTCTCAGGAACAAAAGAATCTCAAATCCAACGAGACATTTCTGTTTCCAAAGTAGAATTAACCCCACATATAAACTCCTAGAAATCAACCCTCTTGCTATAAGCTGAAGCCTAAAACAGTGCATTAGGATCAGTTCTCATCAGTAACTCTCCCTAAACCTTCTTTCAGCATGACAGACATTTTTATAAAATATCACTCTTTTAGGGAGAAAGATTAAACTCTAGGTAGATGTCACTAATTGTTCTGTCTCACTCTCCTGGCTCAAGGTCTCTCAATGCATCACTATCTGAAACTATGTCCCAAAACCTGAAACCTAAAACTATGTCCTCTGCCTTTGTCTGAAAAGACCTGCCCTGGGGGGGTTACTCTGGGAGGCTCCCTGGCAAGAGATTTACACGGAGCATGTCATCACGTGAACATGAATCCTGGCACCACTGTCAACGAGTTATGAGAGCCACAGTGAGATATTTCACCTCCCAGATGTCCTGGCCTCCTTCGTGGGGCAGTCACAGAGATGCTCTAGTCCCTTGTTGCCTCTGGATGGACGAAGTCAGGCTGTAACAGGCATTTACAGTGCAGAGCCTAGGGGCCTTTCGCCACCAGGCCACACAAAGGGTTGATTACCACGCATACCCTACCCTCTTCACTAGATTTCCTCGTTTACTCTGGCTGACTCAGAGCGCCTAAAACAAACAAAGCTTCCAGCAAACAACACTAATTTGCATGAGATGACTTAATGGTATTTTAATTATATTTTTAAAAACCCACACAAGACAAAATTAGCCAGGTACAGTAATCCCAGCTACTTGGGAAGATGAGATGAGAGGGTCACTTGAGCCCAAGAACTCAGGACCAGCTAGGGCAATATAGTGAGACCCCCATCTCAAAAAGAAAAAGAAAAAGGCAGAGGGTAGGGTAGGGATTAAACTTGATCTTGTGAATACTTCCTGCCTCCTTGCCCACCCTTACCCTAGACCAGTGGTTCTCAACCTTCTTAATGCCGTGGCCCTTTAATACAGTTCCTGTGGGTTGCAACCCACAGGTTGAGAACCGCTGCCCTAGACCATATTCCAGCTGGCATCAGAGAAGTACAAATAGGACTTATTCCCAGGTCCACAAATCTTTCACAAAAGACTAAGTCGGCTCAGCGCCTATGGCTCAAGTGGCTAAGGTGTCAGCCACATACACCTAAGGTGGTGGGTTCGAATCCAGCCCGGGCCTGCCAAAACAACAATGATGGCTGCAACCAAAAAAAATAGCCAGGCGTTGTGGCGGGC